GGTTCAAGTTTTTCAGATTGCAGTATGCATCCAGAATCACCATGAGCAGCGTTTGATATCTCTGCTGTATGCATGCATACACTATATATATATATATATATATATATATATATATATATATATATATATATATATATATATATATATGTATATATATATACATATATATATATATGTATATATATAGTGACGAGAAATAAATCAAAAAAAGCAAACTACGCAGACTGTGAATATGTATATATAAGACGAATGAAGGACGCTAACGCCAGAGACAAGGTGAGAGTGGTCGGTGTGTATAGTGGTTTAGGGTTTAGGGTTTAGGGTTTAGGGTTTAGGGTTACCCTGCATGTTTCTCTGATTATCTTTTCATAGTCTACAGTTGCGCTTGTGGTTATCTCGCCGAAGATCATCACCATGCCTGTTTTTGTGCATGTTTCGCATGCGACCTGCAGGAAGTTTAATCAATTGCCGCAGAAAAAACAAAATAAAAACAATAAAAAACAAAAAAATAAACATAAAAAAAGGGAGATGTAGCGTCTACTCAGCCTGTGAAACGATCTGAAACTGCTGATGATGTCGTGCACACAAAGAAGTTGAATTGGTGTTTTTTGTATTTATTTTGATGGTATTTATATTTCTTACTTTGCTATTTGGGTCTTCTGCTAAACATGCATCAAGAATAGCATCAGAAACCTGATCACAAAGTTTATCTGGATGGCCTTCATTAACGCTTTCCGACGTGAATAGGAAGCGGCCGGGTGTGGTGACGATAGCATTGAGCGCCATTTTGGTGGAAAGTCGAGGGAAAATAAAAGAAAAACAAGACAGAAAACGCCTCAATACAAAATTAAGAAGAAATCCTGACATTTCAACCACAAATAACAAAAAAAAACAACAAAGTAAACAACTAAACAACAGAGAAAGTCACCGCAATGCACAGCCGTCGATGCAACTTGTGCACAGCAAGCTGCGGTGTATGTACACCTCAGCGAGCGCGGCCTGTGGCCTGCAACTAGCTCTGAATGGAGCGAGAAAAAGGGAAAAATATGGCGTGGTTGAACCGCATAATTTAAAATATTTATTTATAAAAAACAAACATAAACTCCAACAAAAATTTTCATCGTAAGAGCACACATTCATGTTTCTGCAGCACCGAGCACACGCCACGCCATGAACCGCTCGACGGCCTGGCGGAGGTAAAAACGGAATTTTTGCAAATCTTCCACAATCTAAGAGTCACAACAAGAAGAATAAAATTAAATAAATAAAACAAAAATTAATTTGCATCTTTTTCTCGTTGCCTTCAGCCTGCGGGGTGGTGTCACGCAAGAGCGAAGGGCAAAGGGTCCTCTGCGGCCAGAAGGCAGCAAGGAGAGATAAATTTAACCTCTTCTCTCGAAAAAGAAGTAAAATTAAAAAAGAGATATTTAATTATTACAAATGAAACAATTTTAATTGCGTTTGTTGCATCTACCTGGGCCGACGGAGGCTAAGAAGAAGAGCTGCTGCAGGGCGAAACAACAAACCCCAGGTGGGCAGCGACTGCACTAAATTTGTAAATGTCGCATTTATAGAGCCCACAAAATACAAAAGAGAAAATATCTAAAAAGAACAAAGACAAACGCAAAACATCTTACCGCTCATTGCCTTCTTTATCGTTCTGGGTGGGGCTGGCTGCAACTCGACTCCGGGGCTGCTGTCTGCTGCTGTCTGCTGCTGCTGTATATACAGCAGCAGCAGCAGAACGGGGTCTTTCTCGTTCTTTCTCGGGACATCTAGCGGTGGAATTCTTTTTATTTTATTTATTTCAATATAAATTACCACCAACGATGCTGCACAATAAACTCCTTAGTCTTTCACGTGCTCCTGCACCTCTTGTACAGGCCCACGGGCTCTGCCGCCCCACACCTTTCTGGCTGCTGTGCTGTTCCCCTTCTCCCTTTCCTTCTATCAACACAAAATATTGCTAATTCATTTCCTTTCTTGCGTGCCTAGACCCCCTTGAAATGTAGGTGGAAAGAGGTTTATAGAACCCAGCGCCCCTGCGGGGCCTCGAGCTGATTCGTTTGCTGCGGACTGTCGTGAGCTGCAACAGAGCCAAAACACATAAAATATGCGTAGCCAAAGAACACAACTAATATCCTTTCTCAGTCTCCTGGGGCCCTGAGTACAGCGGCACAGAGGCAACGGGTGGCTGTGAACAGGAAGGGGAGCGAGGCCTGTATAGGATGTTGGTATGTATATTTCTACCGGCGTACAGACTGGCTACAGAGCGAGAAGTATGCTTTTTAAAAGCAACTGTAGTGCGAATGCATGCATCAGCTCACAACGAGCATCTTCTAAGGCCGAGGACTATCCCTGCAGGGGCCATTAGGTGCAGCCTGCAACTCCTCCATAGAAGGCAGCTCTCCGTGCAAGCACAGTTAGCACCCATTTGATTCATGCACTGACAGTATCTGCAGTTGCTGAGTTGGCATTAAGTCCTTAAGTCCTCAACCTGGGCGGAAGTGGAAATACACGCTCGAGCATGAGATAGAGAATGCTCTGAAACGCAACCACAATCAGCCCCTCTCCTGCATGCATTGGCGCAGTGTATAGTTTGTAAAAACTTGCTTGGCCCTCTTTATCCAACACTCGTATAAGTTGAAGTGCATGCACTGACCGTATATAGAGCAAGCTGCATCTAGAGCATGCAGCAGACGCCCTCGTGTGCTCGGCAACCCAATGGGCGAAGCGGGGGGACGAAAGGAGGGAGCGACAGTGAGAATAGCCTGCAACAAGAAAAAGCAAAAGGAAGAAGTGAAGGAAGGGGAACGAGGGGAAACTGGTGATGCTGCTTTGTTGCATCGCTGCTGCATGCCGCATGCCACTGCGTCAACTCGAGGCTGGCACAGGCAAATGCTCTGGCCTCTAACCTGCGTTTGTCTTTGTACCTTCATTTTCTATGCTAGCATTCTGAACTAATTAAAAAGGATGCAGCGAAGTGTCTTCGATGCGAAACATTGTAGCCAACCCCATCAGTTGGGCCCAACCAAATATTGTGCTGAAAGTGAAAGCGTTGTTGGTGGCGGCGCCGAGCTAACCACAGGTAAAGGGGTAATAAGTACCCGTGGAGATCATATATGTAATGAGATATTTCTTTATACGCGTAGCATAGCAGCCGTCATCGAAAGCTTATACGAGCTCAAGCTTGCTTTGCCCTCGCTTGCGGTTGGGTCCCCGGCTGTTCAACGTAAATTTCTCGTTTTCTGTGACATCCACGAGCCGCTGCGAGTCCCGGCAGTCCAGGCTCTCAGTCTCCTGTGCCTCTTCCTTCTCGTAGTGACGTTGCTGCCGTTTGGTGGGGAGGGCTTGGGGAACCCCCCGTTACTCCCTGAATATTTTAAGGAAAAAGAGTTCAGTGGGTGTTTGGTATCTTCACGTCGAGGGTAAATCGATGAGGGAAGTCAACCGAATATCCAGAGCAAACAACCCCACCTGTTGGTTTACTACACTCCTAGCTTCGCCGGCGGTGCAAGCCCTCTGAACGCATTCCGGCTGGGTGAATAGTGACTGCCGAACGCCTTTTGCCGTTGCTTCTTGCCTGAGGCTTTTGCGTTTTTTTTAAAAGAACTTTCGAGCTGCTCCAAGCTGCTGGGGGAATTCGGTGGCTTGGGACGTCTTCTCGGAGCCAGGTTCATAGTCGGGTTAGACAACGCTGTTTCAGTGTATAACTGTGAGAGAGCAACGCGTCAGATATTGCACTGTTAATGCCTGTTGCAGAAGGAAGCTAAGCTAAAAAAGCTTAAGCACGGCACCAGCCACGTTTTGCAAGTAGCGTGTTTCTCCTCTCTTTGTTGCGTAGATGCTCCTTCATCTCGGAGAGTCCCATATTTTCACCCTCTGCACTTAACTCGCCCCAGCCCATTCAACTATCGATTGCATCTCCCCAGATGATGGCTCTCTTGTGAACCCGAGACGAGGCTGCCTGAGATGCGCTGCAGCTCACCTGTCTGTGTTTAGTGCTGCACGTCAACCCTGTAATGCGAGCATAACGACTTACTTGGGCCTCCATAGCCAACTTGCAGGCAAGTAGGGATAAACGCAACGTCAATTTCAAAAAGACTACGCTACACCCCTTTCACACTGGGTCACTGCTGAATCGAACGGAGCCTCCACGACCCCACCCCGTTTGTTGCTAAAGGATATCAGCAGGAAACACGGCTATTTCCTCCCAACAGCAAATTTCACCAGGTGTACATACACTGCAACTAACGGAAATTCTGTCGTCGATAGTACAGAAGTTCCTAGACCTCCATAATGTACAGCAACTGCTAAGCCACCATTGAGGAGGTCACCTACATTCACTGTCCCCATCTGGGGGGGGTAATTCTAGTTCTTTTCTTACTGAAATTAAGAAACTAAATATGAAATATTTAAGCTTTAGGTTTAAAAATTGCATACGGTTTTGGTTTTCCCTGCATTTAATCTCTAAATTCAAACACGATGTCCGTATGGATCGGCGTGGTGTATGCGGCAGTCAGTCTCTGTGCTTTGGGGTGGTAACAGCACTGAAGGGTAGAGTTTCAGCTTTCTATAAGAGTGGAAATAAGAAGAATACAAATAAATAACTCACTAGAAAAAAGGCAAATGTATACTATAGAGGAGCTGCTGCTGAATCACTGACACCGTGGGGTGTATGGGCAGCTCCCGTCCTGTTGCACAGAACCAGTGGTCGGTGCCGGTTCAACTCAGCGGCTGTTCATGTTTTTTCCGCAGCATTGTTTTTGTTTGTTTTCAGTATTTATTGTGTCATAAATTTATTACTTTTTTCTCTGTTTCTCCCCTGTTGACGTTCTTTTTTGGGGGCTCTGAGGGCAGTGATGAACGTCTGCTGATCCTCTCGCCGCGGCAGTACTGGGTTACCCCGAGTGGGCATATTCGTTGGATTTTTGTTCTTTTTTTTTTTCTTTTTTTTCTGTTTTCATGATTTATTTTTGATTATAAACCTTAAAATACCCGAGATCGGCGAAAATATTCAACAGAAACCGCAGCTTTCCACCGATCATCAGCTGGGCGTTTCAGTTGTTTCTGCACGTGAGTGCGGTTGCTGCGTTCATCTTTTCCGCCTCTCTCGCGTGAACTTTGTTTTTTTTTCTGAATACTTTTTTATTTCACCTTTTTTCCGGGTTATGCCCGCTCAGTTTACCTCTTGGCTTCTGTACGCTTCCTAGCGTTACAAGGCTGCCGCCGGGATCTGAATTTTTGGGTGTTTCTTTCTTCTCTCTCATGAGTTCCGCAGCCCCTTCAGCTGCTGCAGCACCAGCCGGTGCTTCAGCACCTTCTCCACCACCACCACCACCACCACCACCACCATCATCATCATCAGCAGCAGCAGCAGCAGGAGCAGCAGAAGAAGCTATTGTTGTATTCCGTGAGGACGAGCGTGACTACGCAGACCCGAAGGAAGATAACAAAGCAGATGCTCGATGGCTTTCTCCTTTTGCGGGTTCACCCCATGCGCTTCGTCTCGGCCTCCATCTCTTTCCCAAGGCAACGCATGCAGGCCACGCAGTCGTTGACTGTCGCCTCTTCGGCAGAAACAGAGCAAAAACTTGCAAATGGAATGGCTGGGGATACGCTGATACTTACGTTTGCATGTCCAGTGCATCCATGATACGGCTCCACGGAGCGAGGTAAGAAACACAGGTCTATTACTCTTTATTTCTTTTATTTTATTTTATTTTATACATATATATATATATATATATATATATATATATATATATATATATATATATATATAT